ATTACAAAACAGTAAAAAGACTCTAGGGCGTAACCTTCAATCATAAAGCCAATCACACTAAGTACTGAATACGTCATATCTTTTGATTAATCGTTCACTACATTAATAACTATGGATACTAACTGTCAGAATCGCGACGGTTATCTGGTAATTAGTTCCAAATCACTGAGCCAAGTTCCGTCCAAAACTTCAAATAGGTCTAAACGATGACAGACATAACACAGCAATTCACTAATAATCAGCTAATTAAGTCGGTCAACAGATACACAAAAACAAATTCATGACAGCACGTTAAAGACACGTCGTTTTCTTGTAATCTCTCATAAGCTTTGTGTCTATTGAAACAATATGAGTAGAGAGTGGGTTTAACACTCACAATAACGCAAATAAATATATAATAACGTCATCACATTTGCGCATAATGGTTTCCGCGCCTTTCCATTAATTCCAATGTCTGAATGTTGAATGTATCGACATATTAAGTAAACCGCAAATGAATACTTCATACCCACTATTAAAACTGAATCTATAAACAGTGTTTAATTGTATATAGAATGGAATTGAAATCAGCTATATGTATATGTAATTTAATGAAGGTATGTTCAATAACACACGTAATTAACATTGTTACTTACCATGTCAGTTGTGTGACTGAGCGTTTCACCATCAATTAATTTAAATCATTGTTTTTACCGTTCACTATGTAGTACATAATTTTGACTTGGGAATTATACAATTTAAACGTATTTTATTCCTTTCATTGAATGGTTGCTATCAAGACGTCGACTAATATCCTGTGTTCTTATCGTGTCTCTACGAATGCATGTTTATCTTTGTTTGAAAAGAAAAGTTTTTTTTAAATTACATACCTCTGTTATCATACAATGTGTTTAAATTTGTGTAGTTCTTCCATCACACATCAGTAATCACATGATACGTTATAACATGTGTCTCATTATTTATTTTGTCATGCTGTTGTCTTGTACGGTTTAATCACTCAAGTTTGGCATTTAATGAGTCTCAGTTGGTTTTCAGAGACTAGTGGCGTGTTTTCAATGTAATCGCTTGAGAATTATAGTTGATTGATGTTAGAATTTAATGCAACGTCTGTCTGAAGCGAAATCACTGTGTTAGTTAAGTAATTTCATCATAAGTATCGAATCGAACAATATGACGGCATCAGTTATTTGTTGTACACTGTGAATCTAGGTGTTTTAAAATATGAAACATTTTGTTTTATAATTAAACACATTAAATGTTTTCCGCAAAATATATAAATAAATAAAGCTTTTTATTATTGAAAATATTAAATCAATAAATTTAAATCAATAAATTTAGCGCTACATGCACAGTATGTCTACTGAGAATGGTGAGATGTGTGATAAATATACTGCATACATTCGATATTAAGCACTGTGTCTATAACATAGACGGCATGCAAAAGTATCCTGTATATGAGCACTTATATAATCGGGGTTTTAAATCGGAACGTTGCATGTTTATTTGTTTTAGAAGGATCTTCAAAACAAAACCGCTTGGAAAAAAAGTGTTTTAGTTACTCTTATAAACTTTTTTACATGTCATATACATAAACATGCATATTCAAGTGTTTTACCTTGAAACATTGCATGTGTGTTTTAGGAAATGTTTCAAGATAAAACAATTTTTGAAGAAAAGTGTTTTAGTTACTTACATGAACACACATGTGACTTATTTATTAACACTTTGCGAAACATTTAGAGTCTGGTGTTTTGGGCTGAAACTGTGATTTTGCTTTCTGAAGTGTTTCAAATTGAACAGTTTTCGAAAGAAATGTTTAAATCACATGTGACAATGCCCAGATGTGATTTGAACTACAACTACCCTTCACCAAATGTGGAATATTAAAATCCGTTTTTCATCGAGGTACTTAATTCACCACGTGTCTCGATTTCAAGTTGTACTACTTAAGCGTGCATACAATTAACTCTTCCGCAACCTGGAGCTTGACATCAAATCATTTTCTGAAGTTAATGTTATGATCCCTCTCATTATGCTTTGAATTACGTCACCTTCGGCGATTGTCGAGTTGGCATATATACCATAATGTTTACCTTAGAGTCCCTAGACCTTTCCCTCAATTTTGTCCATACTACTTGCAGAAAGTCTGTATACGCATACGTTGTAAAATAAGCATACGTCATCATTTGCATAATGGTTTAGTACAGGAAATAGATGATAACGGAGTCTGAGATGAGTAATAATTATTTATGTAATCATGTAGGCTAATTATTTGGAGTTTGGAGCCATACATGTCAACTGTATATATTGCCCACCAATATATGAATGGAAACTAACATACATATAACCAGTTATGTATTTGAACAATCTTAATAACACTTGTAATGTGTTATCATGATTAGATACATATTATTCTAATTCTTTGATTAAACTGATTTAAGTGGTATTTTCCATGATAGCTATGTAGTTTGTGCGGTACAGTTATATGGTAATGTGGTGTTGAATGCCAACTATGTTTATTTTGTATTAACGCTGCGATAAAAACTTAAAGATAAAGATTTTATTTAAAAATATTTAAAATATGGAAAATCAAATTTATTCGTCTATTTGTAAACGATGTTTTCTTATACTGGGGCTTGAGCCAATGGATGTGCGTATATGTAATCACAGCTTATTCTATATTGGCATAAAACGCCGTATGGTTTTCAACAAATTGTTGATATTATATTAATTTATAATCCTATTGCTCATATTTTATACTAGATATCGGATTACTTTATACGATATCGATCTAGGTCACAGTGACCTAGAAAGCTGACTTCAATTAATTTAGAAGCTAAGTACTATATTATCTTGCATGCGTATTAATAAAAGAGAGTAGATAAAACCGAACTTCTCAAAGTCGTTGGAGATAAAGCCGCATACAAATGGAGAGTTTGAATTAGTGTTTGGGGCGAGTACTTGTTGGTGCCACGCCTGTTTCACAGTTTGACCTGTTTATTTTTGTCATTGATCAACAATAGGATATTTAAACATTCATTTACTTTTTCATCTCAAAGGAAAGACGGCTTGCAATATTTAGAATCACATGTTTCTTCGAACTGCAATTGTGTCAGTGGTTTGAGAGTGGTGCACGATTACGCTCCATAGCAGCATTAAAGTACTCTGTTGTAAGAAGGTCGTATTATATAAATATGACAATGTGATTAAAATTCACTTTTAGTAAATATAAAATCTTTGCTCAACACAAATTTAAAGTAATGTATTGAACTGTTTTAATAATAACGCATCGTACGCACTGTATTATAGTGTACGTGAAACACTAGTACTGTTTCTGTTTGTATGTCGATATAATCGAAAATCAGAGAGCCGAGTTACTTTAAGAGATTGGGGGTCATCTATATCTGTATTGCTGATGTCATCAACTTTCCGACGTGAACCATAGAAAATTGCTACTTTTTCTAAATAAATAATATTTTCTTAGTTTTTCGTAATATTTTGACCAGCGATGCATGAACTGTAAGTTCGTTTCACATAGTACAGAGACTGGTAAACAAATTCGTTCAACCGTTTGAGGATTCTTGTTGGTTTGGAACTAATATTTGCTTGTTTGATGAATTCTGAATTGAAAACGGAACATTGTAATGACTAGATTTCAATCACTTCAACGTGCTGTGTTTTGCTACTGTATCGGATGCAATCGTGCTGCAAATAGACAGTTGTAAAATAAATAGTGTAAAATTATTCAACGTCAAGGTTAAAATCATAACTAACCGATGAATTAAAGATTAAGTTCGGTATTTATATGTTAAACGCGTTAACGGACTTCCAAAACGTTCTCAGTGGACGATGATAAATGCTAAGTATGAAAACTAAAAGTTTGCATTTAATTGAGTGTTAGATTGACTATTGCAATTAATACAATAGTCTATTCAAATATTATGTTTCTAGTTGTACAGAAGTATCCGGAAACGCGCTTATTAATTTTGCTGTTTATTGACATCACTCCATTGGAGCTCACCATATGGTTCACTCCCACAACGGGTACAGTACATGTTTAATTACACCATTTCTTTGAAAAAAAACAGAGTAGTAAATTATGTTTATAAACCACATTTATTTAGCAAGAAGTAAGTGTTATTTAGAAATGTTGCTTATACATATGTGAGGGAAACCTGCATTGTATCGTACCATAAATGAATAATACTATTGGTGTATTTTATTGTTAAGAATACACCGGTGTGCTAATATGTCAAAATACTGCACTGCTGTAAATTTGTACAGGCCAATCTACATTTGAATAGCACTTGTTTCATTTAAGTATCTACAAAAAAGACATTATATAATGTTTAAAGTGAATAAAAGTAACGTAAATGAATACATATTGCACTGAATACATGCAGTAAATACATAGCAATGCATATTACTTATCAAAGGTGCTGCTAGTTAATCCTAACACGTCATACATGTTTTTAGCAGAATTTTATTTCCCATAATTATAACCCATCGCTTGTCTTTAAGGCAGTTTCTGTTATGACTTGGTAAAATATGGCAGATTATGTTTTTTGGACAAAATATCCCAATACAATGTGTGAAACCAGAAATCAATTTTATATTCTGTTTGCCAGCCGGCCATGTGCATTGATAAGGTTCACTTAAAAGTCAAGGTTTTGCACTATAATTACAACCATGGGCGTACATTATGTCTGTTCATTAAGACTTATATTCAGCACTGTTATTGTATTGTGTAGGCAACACCTGTATAAATCAACACAAACAATATAGTTGTGTAGTGAAGTCAAATCAACAATACGTATAACCGTATTTCCATCAAGTTGTGTTTTATACGTTCTTGAAAACTTAATGACCGATACCATACTAATCATACGACTGCGTATGCGTTTCGGGTTGGGTTGTGTTCCATGCTGTTAATGCATATACTGTAGGGTGAAGTCGATATCACAAAGACAACATTTTGAATATCGGGGTAGAGCTCGAAATCATGATATTGTGATAGATGGAGACGGCTGCACAGACATTTCATTGACAGCATCATTGTTGCCTTGCTTACACTTCACATATGCCGATGCTCGTGTAAGTACAGACACCAGTCCTTTCCGAAATTGTGAGCTGAATTTGATGTAAAGTATAAAGTTGTACATCGTGCTAAAGATGGCCAGCGCAATTCGAAGTGCATTCCATATCGTATCATTCTCCGTACTGTCTGATTGACCAGCAATAGTCTGTAAGAAATAGCAACTTAGATTATGAAAATATAATTATGTTGCCAGAAACTACATATAGGGTCGGCAAGGGGTATTTTCGTAAGCTGTAATCAATTGTTTTATTTTTCGTAATAGTATAATTTAAATAAATATGGATTGTAAATTCGTAGACACGGGCAAAATGTAATCAGCTATTTTATTCGTCCATAATTTGTACAAAGATTTAACTTTTTGTAAGCGTATAAGGCATTTTCCAAATTAAATGTAATTTCCAATTTTGATTCTAACTCAAATTAACAAAATTAGTATAGAGTCGTAAAATGTAATTATGAATTTGCTTTACCTGTAAAGTGTAAAAACCTATTTTTTTTACTGTAAATGGAACTTTCATTTTATTTCTTGTAAAAAGGTAAAATGCCGTTTTCATTTCCTGTAACCTGTACCAGCTATCCCCCCTTGCCCCTCTACATAAATATGAAATAAATATTCATGAGTACTTGATGTATTCTGCTTGTGCCAATTACATCCCCGAATTACTGTTTAACAGTAATCTACGACTGGTTATACGGAGCTTATAACTGAAGTCCAATGTCAAAGTACGCTCAGTGTCTCTCATTTGTAAACAATAATAACGGGGAAACGGATTTGCCGAAAGCAAACTAAAAAGCTAGTCGTTAAAACGTCAATTATTGAGGAAGTCCATTCAAATCGTCAAAATGGGTCATTTGTATGCTAAAGCAATTTATACTAACAATAAAGTATAATAGCGTGATGTAGCCTGTCATACATGGTATAAAGCTGACGGCAGTTATTCGGAGACTTGTGTAGATCTCGTGCGATTATTTTGAGTACATTAAAATCATAACAAAGAGTACACTCGGTATACGCCATATCAGCCCCGAGGATAAATATACTTACAATAATATCATGGAGGATGAAGTACGGCAACCACGACAACCCAAATAACAAAGTCGCCATGGCCAACATCGAGACAATGCGAAGTCGTCGTTTATGCAAAATAAAGTTATTCGATGTTGTTGACAGTCCAGTGTCGCTGTTAATTCGCTTACTCATGCGGTTAATGTACATCGCCACTCTGGTGTAATTTATTGTTATAATTATCAAGGGTAATACATATATTGTCACTGTGACAAACACTACATTAACAATCGTGAACATTCTCGATGTTTCTGCCATACTGCACGACACTACTGTTGTATTTGTGTCATTCGAAGTTGTGTCGATCACCTCCAGAACGTTGTATTCGATAAGTGTTGGTATAATCACAATGAATGAAGCGATCCATAGTCCAGCCACATAGAATTTACTATCATGAAAAGTTAGCTGTTTCTTGGTAGTCTCCACAATGGCTCGATAACGTTCCCATGACAACATTGTGAGAGTGTAGGCAGCACTACCAATGAAGAATATGGGTAGTGACGTCACGAGCTTACAAGCAAGGACTCCTGCAAAATATAAATGCAAAATGAAACGTGAAAGCAATATACGATAATTTTACAATGAGTTGTTCGTCATTATTAATTCTGCTGTTTTTCATTTTTGAAATAACAAAATAATAAAACAGCACAGCAAAGAAACAGCAGCTAACACCGTCTGTTATTTATTGTATATGTATTAATTACAAAGCCTATTCTTGCGGGTGAATAGAATAGGCATTATACCAAAACTAAAAACACGCTTTTTTCGGTTACATCAAACACACAATGTGAATACTATGTGTATCGTTCACATATGCAAGCTGTGAAATAACTAAAACGATTTTATTGGGTGCATTCCAAATATTTTATGTATTTTTTTTCGTCCGCGATACTGATACATGTTTAGAAAGCTCTTCCATACAGTTATAGGTACAACTTTGTATACTGTGCAGTCAATATAAAGCTGGTGTTTGGAATGTGCAACATTACTGAATCTTTTATTTATTAATAAATGATTGATAATCTGAGATGGGATACAATAGTTGTATACACTTTAAGTTAGTTATATTTTCATTTATTTATCTATTCAAACAACGGATAATCATATAATAAGTAGATAAATGAAAGCCGATTGGCTGCATAGTCTTATAATTACTAGGGATATAATTCATGTGGTACTTCCTCATATATGTATATTTATATATGTATATACATCAATGTTCTAGTTATTTCCCTATGTAATAATCGGATCATTTGTTTGATCAGTTTAACAAGAGTGGGTTGTTCACAAATATGAAAAAGAAAAACTTACACGGTAAAAGAACAATTATTATGAAAGATATCTAGGCCCCACGAAAAAAGCTGTGTTCACAGTGCTTCAATTTATAAATAATTAATTCAAAAAAAAATAAATTTTTCATCCTGCCTATTTTATTCTTAACTTTGAACCAATTGTAAACACTTTAATTTAAATAATTTCATTGTGTTGTTATTTTAAAGTTATCACACTCGGTGATAAAGGAAATTGATATTCTCTAATATAACAAATGACTACTACATACACCATAATAATTTTTTACAAAATTATACAAAAGTTATAGTTCACACAGGTTTAAAAAGTGACGTGATTTTGCTAGTACAAAACAGCGAAATGTAATTTTTATTTTCGCAATACTCATGTCACTGAATGTATTTTACTTCCACAGACAATCTGGATAAGTCCGTCTCCTGGAATCTAAATTTGACTGTTACTTGATCATCATTCATGCTATCCAAATAAAAACGCCGTGCCATGGTTTTATTGTACGCATTGTAATTAGCACTACCATTACCTACGGTTAATGCAAGTGCAAAACAGTTAAAAGTCATTTTAAAATGCTAAATCAGAAATATTCGCCATTACGGACAATAAACTGCGCGATTTACAGTTAACGCGTAGCCAGACTATTTGTTGCCACGAACTTCTACATCAGCGTGAGCGAGGATTCTGCGCGTACACGTAAAACGTGTTATCTATGCGTCACATTATTATTAAAAGAAATAAAGCATTTCTATCATTCATGACATTACAGGTATATTTGCACTCTTAAATGAGCTCCAAAACATGGCAATGTTAATTGGCTTCGACAGGAGTGGGAAAATGTGTCAGTATTGTATGTGTACACCTGTGGCGATGTAGGATGTACTTAAAATCGTAACATGGAGATACATAATATCGGCATCACATCGCTATTTCTCACTAAGGAGGATGGACAACGAATGTTTGGATCTCCAAAAAGAATTATAACACCTTTTTTTAATGCGTAACAATAACTGTAATCGCTAGTATCACGTGATGTCCGACAATTATACACCTTTGTACACGCACCATTCTCTGTACTCTAAGCTATTTTTGGTATTTATATCGCTGTCAGTGTTATCGATATTGCTGTATAAATATCGAAGGAAATCCACATGCTCGTATAATACACACACTGACAAGTTAATTTCTACTTGTTTATATTCAAGTGGAAGAAATACATTGTGATTCATACTCATTCATTATTCATATTTCCAAGAAAATTATTTGTTTGACATGTACTTCAGCATTTCAATTTTGTTTAAATTAGTCAAAAATTTAGAACACGATGGCTGACTATAAACCATATAAAAGGTAATGACATATATGTTATGAACTACGTTTGATCATTTTTTTTGGAGAAAGCGTTTAAATTTTAAATGTAGCAGATAGAATAACATAGATTTTCCAGAATTCAGATAAATCATTATTTTCTTATTTTGATATCCATGATAATTTAAACACACCATATGTCATGCAACTATGTAGCAAGACTGGCGTAGTAGGGAGCAGCTGTTTTCGCAGAGTTTCACAGAAAACAGAAATGCAGATTTTTACGACTGTCATGTATGGTCACATAAACAATTGTATGAAACATTAGGATGTATCATTACGTTTGACCAGTGGTTCTCACTTTTAGTCAAAATGTGTGGCATCATCTATGAAAATATAGCTGCAAGCAGCAAAGTAATAGTTTCGAGTCTTGCCATGTGGTTGCTATATAATATTGTTACTCATAATTGTCTGTTGTGTATTTATACATTTTGCAAATTTTGGAAAAGGGATTTCATACATACCATGTTTTCAGTGTTAAGGGAAAGGTTGCTACCCTATAAACTATTTATTGCAAATATTGTTACTTTGAGTTGTATTAATTACCATTAATTACTCCACTGACGTGATAAATATACACCAACACTCATATAATAATTGAGCAATTTTATTTGCAACACATTATTCTTAAAAACAGATTTAGAATGTCTTGGATATGTGTTAATTATAGAGAATTTATTGCATCAAGATATACTGCAACACATTGAGAATATAATATAAAGGTAGTATTTAAAACAAAGTGCCAGACTTTAGAATGATATTTAAGTGAAAATGCTTGTAGTTTCCAACTCCACTCTTTGCAATGCATGCTATCTAGTTCAGAGTATAGAAAATCGTGGATCGAAGACTTTGTGACAAAATGTAAATTTTGCCCTCATGTAAAATCATTTTCCGCTCGGAACGCTTGCAAGTTCAGCATGTTTGGCATGTTTAAAGTTACGTTTTTGACACATTTGACTGTTTTAAAACCAGGTGTTCAGAATGCTGAAAGAATAACTTCTAGAAAACCTCGCACATAATGTTACATCTTTAATTACACCCAAGTCGCGTAGTCCTTGACCGCCACGTTGGATCTGCATTACCCACATGATTACTAAAACAGTCATCAGGTCAACTCTAGGTAGCATGTGCATTCAGATCTCATTAATCATCAGACTTGTGCAACAATCCCACAAATTCGTCCCACGTACAACGATTCAAAAACCATGTGTCGGAATAGTAAAAAAAAACACACAATAGCGTAATTTGCCCTCAGGTAATCCCTTAGACAAACATTGGTAAGCCATTCCATATTTGCCTCTATCTAAGCTTTCTGGTGATGTATAAATTGTTGCGAATAAAATAAAAAACAAATAAAATTCAGCCTTGAACGCCTGTGTAACATGCAATTTGCAAATAAGTTTCCGAAAATTGACCGGTTGGTTTGACTTTTTGTCCTGGTTGCCCTGACCCCTGGCTAAAAATAATTCAGTAAAAACGAAGCTTCTCCTGAAATTGGGACTTATACGCACCAGTGCTTGCGATCAACATTCTGTGTGTCCATTGCATACACAGTGTAAGCAAGTCTGAATGGTTCGATGAAAATTTGAACTATCATCAAGTGATTGGTGGTTTAACCAGTTAAAATGTATGTTTCTGAAGGTTTGCTAGCAAAAATGTGCTTTACAAATTGTTACGTGAGTTTCCTACAATGTCGTAGAATTTATTAATATTAATATTTAAGTAGGCCAAATGATGTCGAAGCTTTATTAACGTAAGGACTAGTTTCATAGAATCTTCAACGTTTGGAATACAGGTATACACATGTCTTTTACACATGGCTATCAAAATGTCAGTTTATTACAGTAGAATAAAATAACTTGTCATAGTAATATATTGATTGTTTTTTATCGAGGTTTATATTTCAATATTCAAATGGAAATGGGGTGTATATTAATCTATGCATTGTTTGTACTATTATATGTGTATATTTCACTATGTAATTTTTTATCACCAAGACAGTATATTAATATTGACTACTATTCTTAACAATTGCCAGCATATTGCTTGAAGTTGTTGTCAGGTTAACATTTTGAAAACAAATATTTGTATGTAATGTAAGTTTGGTTTTTCGTTGGTGTTTCATTAACCTTCACATTAACAACCTAATCAGGGACAATAAGAATAGTGCCAATTAATACGGCAATTTTGAGCGCTGAACTGAAAATTATGGAGTTATAAATACATTTCTGAAATTTAGCAACTTAAAACTAACTTCCCATATCTCATAATACTGGAAACTCCTTACACAAATCCAAAAAGTAGATTACAAAAAAAAAATTCAAGACGCGCTTTAAGCCCATCCGTCCATTAAAAAAGGAAATCAAGCATATGTTGAATATTTTAACCTGACATTGGGTACTTAAATACTACTATTATAGCTTTATCTTTATTAAACTAGTCGTCGTTTAGTGTACTTCCCATTGAGTATGATTGGTCCATGCTCATGGCCACTTAAAACCTATTATTTATACTGTGATACTGAATAATCTTAGTCATTTTATGACAACACTTGTATGCTATTAAACATAATAGTTATTACTTATAAAGTGGGGAGTTTCTCTGTCGCTAATAGTATTAAACACGAACGCTTGCCGAATCATGAAACGCAATTATCCTATGCCTTTGACAATGCCTAATGTGCGTGAATTATCTCTTTACGGGCTCGAAAATGTCAACATTTGCACCTTGTCACGTTTTGATTGATAAGCTGATCATTGATGACACACAATTTAATCTCAATCAGCGTGGGCATATCTACAAAGAGCCACTATAATTAGTTTATAAATACTGTTAGAACCATGACCTTCGAGACGGGTCACTGCATTGCTACGACATTTTACTGTGAAGTTTAAATTTATTGACATACCTCCGTAATATACCTTATAATTTGTGGAAATTGTACTACTGAAAATAAGACATACTTCATATTTGCACCGAACTAACATGTTAATAAGGCAGTGTGATGTTTTTGTGACAAACGCACTATTATGTATTACAAAGCACAGTCTATTACTCGTTTGGTAATTTCATAATTTATTATTTAAAATATGTTTTTATTAATATTTCTCCCATTCATTATTATTATGTTTTCCCATGTCCTTATGTGTTCTTAGGTTATGTGAGCATTGTTAGCAAACATATTTGATCGTGTTCATAATACCTTGCATATATTAATAGCTCTTAAAATAAACACATTCTTTGATCATATGAAGGGAAACGGCTCATTTGATGGCAATGTTGTATGCAAATGAGATGGACCACTTTACGATATCTTGATTATGCGTTAACAAATCAAAATCCGTAATACATGTCTTGCGTTTATAACCTGCGACACAAACGTTACATAGATCAGTACATTCAGTTCAAGGTCAGTGGAACAACAGACGCCATGATAGAAAGAACAACTGGTGGAGCAAACGTAGCGTGTTTATTTCGCTCACCGTTCGAATCCTTAGAGTGGATGACTATGTTTGTGATTATAATACAACCGTCTTAGAAGAACGATAAATAATTTACCGCGTGACACTGAAAACCCGAAAAGGCATTATTGCAAACAAATAAATCAAGATGTTTAATACCAATATTTCACAATGTTAACCCACTTCAAAAAACCTGCTTTACAACATAATATATAGTAATGACGATCACGTAGACGTGCATGAAATAAATATGAAATATACTAATCAGTTGAATAGACCTTCATATTTAAATACTGAACTCCGTTAAAATTAATTGAAAATCGAACATCCCAATGGGTTTTAACATTATGGAAAAGAATGGATATTGTATCTATATTCAGTAGGAAAAAATCAAGACACTATCAAATCAAAATGTATTTCTATCATGCATGTCAGACAACCACAAACTACTATGAAATCGTTTAGTTTTGCGAATAAATGTATGCCAAGTGAAAAGGGCAAATGTTGGCCAACTAAAGGAAATAGTATCTCACATTGGTGTCGTGTCAATGTTATTTGTAGTGTGAATGTCCGTGTGAACTACCGTGTGAAGTTCCATTCAAAACATGTGTATAATTTAACAATGTGGGACTAAATATAAACACAGATTACCATTCATGGTTATTTGTCATTACTACTAATTAGTTTACACATTAATTACGTAGCTTATCTGGGATAACTTAACGCATATTGAAAATTGTTTTATTAGTCTATGTAATGTATACAATTGCGAATTAAATTATAAAATTCATTGAGTGAAATTATTTTTTAATATCCTCTAGTTGGCTTAATTTTCGTTTTAATGTAGCTGATTGTATTGAGAGCGAGGTGAGTGCGATTTCACCGATTGTCTCGATGGCATTGTCCTAGCTAACTAAATATGGGAATACGTGCGAATACATGACAAATTAACGGGTCAGTGCATCGTGTCAGAAGAAGTCCATGAGCTCACGAAGGGTTCGATCTGCTGAGTAGAGCTGTAGTCAGTCGAGGATACAAAACAAAAGTGTCATTATAATCAAATAAATAACTTCATTGTCTTTATTGCGCTTGAACATTTATTAGACAGTGTTCTCAAATAGCTTTATCAAACATTTAATACAATGAAATCAATTAGAATGGCATGCAGGAAGTCAACTAATTTCACGTTGGAATATCTCAAAAAGCTAAATAAATAACAGTTTAAGTTGTCAATGAATTTGTATAGGAACCAACAATAATAGGTAAGACTGAGTATTGATACCATTGAATGTTGATTTGGAAACTCAATACTAAAACTGAGTAATGATATCATTGATCAATGTTTTTGTAGTATAAAGTCAAATTCGAGCTCGTTCATATTTTACAACTTAAAAAATCGAACACAAAACTTTGTCATCTATCTCAGATATAGAATAACAAATCAGTCACAATGATTTTGGGAACTTGTATTAATTGTTTGTTTTTGCATTCTAACCTTAATATTGTGTTCATTTCTAATTCAGATAGAGACATTTTTATAATGAGTAAAATCAACAAAAAATGCTGCACAGATGTCTTCATAAATATCACATCTATAATCTCCAAAAACATTAAAATATCTGATGAGTACCTGCGTAGTAGTAGTCATTTGATTAATCATTTTGATGTCAGAATTAAAACAATATCAATAGATGAACAGTGGAGTTGCTGCAATGATTTGTATAAATGACTGTGAATGATTTGACGTCTAGTAAACATTTTCTAAGATTATATTATACTTGGCATGCAATTATAAAACATCGTATCATTGCAGGTTTTAAATTTTGACCACTGTTTAAATACGTTCAATTTATGATAGATCTCTAATATTTTCATGGATCTACATCCTTAGATTTTTCTGTATGTGAACTTATTTCTCAATATTTCATTACCACTGCTAAATATTTTACACACTCATTTAACTGGATTATTTGGGATAACTCAATACGCCGTCAGATAATCTGTAATTAGTCTGCGGTATATAATACCGGAATACAAAAACTAACACTCAAAGTTGAAAGGCTTGACACAGCGGGCACATATAAGTACGTTTTTAACATGACTTTTAACATGCAAATATCGTGTTGCACTATCACATGCCCGCCCAGCCGATAGTTCTTAGTTTATATTTGGATAGGCCTCTGGAATACAGTTGCATATATCCGTTGTCACGAAATAAGGTAAAAAATAAAACCCGGTAACCTAATTATAGACATACTTTAAAAGCATAGGGCATGTAGCATATATGCAGGCACTCCCAGAAAATAAGTAATTCCTTGTGTGTGTATTGCCAATAATTCCATTCCGCCATATTTATTTATTTATTTATTTATTTATTTATTTATTTATTTATTTATTTATTTATTTATTTATTTATTTATTTATTTATTTATTTATTTATTTATTTATTTATTTATTTACTTACTCATTCTCGTCATTTACTCAAATGAATGGCTGAGTTACGTGGGTGATAAATATGAAAATACAACACGAAAATGGTTAGTGCTGTTTAATGGTTAGTACTGAAATGGTTTGTGCTATTCAATGGTTAGTACTGTAGTGGTTAGTGCTGTTCAATGGTTAGTACTGTAGTGGTTAGTGCTGTTCAATGGTTAGTACTGTAATGGTTAGTGCTGTTCATTGGTTCGTACTGAAATGGTTAGTGCTGTTAAATGGTTAGTACTGTAATGGTTAGTACTGCAATGGTTAGTGCTGTTCAGTGGTTAGTACTGTAATTGTTAGTGCTGTTCAATGGTTAGTACTGTATTGGTTAGTGCTGTTCAGAGCTGGTATTTCTCGATCCCAATTGATTGTGCGTTTAAATATATTACTAAAGAACCCGACAATTGCAATCTAGATTTTACGCTGTAAATCGAAAAAAAATACCTATCAAAGATTCACCATGTTCTTTATTTGAAATAACAATAAATGGCATTATTTGTTTACAATCTAGATAAAAGTAAAGGTGCATCCGCAATATATCACAAATACAATGCTCACTCACCATGCACACATTGAATATTACCGTAGATTAATGACACCGATTCGGCATATAATAGTTTTTTGGGAAATTACACATCTCAAACAAACCTTGTTGCACGTATACATATACATATGTATATGTGTATACATTGTAACAATAATATAGGTGTATTTTACCGGGGCCGCTACTAAGAACCACGGGTTATGCTCAAGGAAATGTGGGTTCGGGGCTTAAAATTCATGATGTAGCATGACCTAATCCGCACAAGCCTTTAGTTCGTTTCGAATATGAATGGACGGTTGGGAATGGACGGATGATATCATCACGGGATATTTAATTCAATCATCAGAACAGTGTGACTTAAGGATTGAGCCCACGTTGAGTATGTGTCATTGCTTTTTCTTCTTTTAAATATACCGCCAAGGAAAATAAATAAATAAATAAATAAATACCAAATACAATAATTTAATTGGATCATGGATTGTGATTGCTGTATAAATTACGTTCTTACCTTCGAAGTAGTCTTCAGTGTGTGATATATCATGTATATTCTGCGGTAATACCACACCGGCAAACAGCATGTCACTGATGGCTAAATTGGTGATTAGTACGTAGGTAACGTTGTGCATACGTTTGTTTGTTAATATGACGATGATAATCAGTCCGTTCATCACAACTGAAGAGAACACCAAAACTGAAAATACCGAGACGAACACAATGTTCTGCGCGTCCATTTCATGATCACACATAGTGATTCACATAGGTTGTGAGAGTTTGTTTTATTAAGTCGATATGTACTGGCATATAGCATTTATAAATACATTACCACGTTTATTTCGAGCAGAGTACAGTGGCAGACTCACTTGTACGCGCAGTTGGAATATTCCATTTCACTTCTAGATGCAACCGTCTTAATACATGGACGTTTTGTTACAGCCGTCATGTCACATTTGTTTTAATGTTTCTTCTTGTAAACGATGTGTGCGCAGCTGTGTCGACTTGTTTATTCTTCCTTGCGAACGTTGGGAGTGTGAGTGATGGCGATGCATATATCACCGCTCACCAATACAACCAATAACTGAAACATAGTAAAACAGAAAAAAGGTAATTGACTGCGGAAGTGACGTAGATGACTTTCATAGCACGTGACTATTCAAACATAGAAGTTAAGATGGCAAAAACAAATGGTATATATCATTATTGCTATATTGTTTACGTTATTTCGACTGAGAATTAAGACGTAAGAGTAGATTGTCGTATTTGTCAAATTAATTTGACGCTAATGAAAATTTGAGTTGTTGTCCGAGTTTTTTTATTGAATTCGGCGAGCTTTGTTTCAACTCTATGCAATAACGGGCATCAACCGTGAAGCACGGTAAATTATATGTATATTAATTACAATTTGAAAATTCTTGGCTCCTTTATTACGCTTATTCACGAAACCTAATAGATCAAATTTCCGTTCACGAATACAAACAAATGTTCACGTCGTCAATAGTATGTTAAAGCCAATGAGGGCCACACGCAGCATAGAGTCCGTTCCGTTGTTTCACCACAATATATAGCATGTAGCTTCAACAATTTTCAAATTAACTGAAATTTCGCTTATAATTTTAAAATAGCTTTCACTAGCTTTACATATTCAGGGATGGAATGCATACATACAATGTAAGCGACCCAGGAGTGCAATTTCTATTATATGTATATTATGTAAGCTCACGTCAAGCAGTTTTGTTTATATAAATTTAGCATTCTGGGGGTTTGAATATCTATAAAATGATTGTTTTGTCTGGGGTAT